CATGCTTTGGCCCACCCATCCAGGTACCTCCGGACTTCAATTTCCATCATTTTTGTGCCAGCTGGGCATGGGGAAAGAGCTGCAGCCCAACACATCTGCACCATACTGGGGTTTGGGGTTGCTCTGATGTGTGTATTCAGGCACTCCTCTCTGTTGTTGTGGCACCCCCTTAACAACTGAGTCAGAAGTTGTGCTCTGTCAAACAATGAAGATTTCCTTTCGTCTCTAAATATACTCAGGAGAAGGTGTGTGTTTGTGAATGTCTTCCAATTACAATAGGAACGGCCACACTTTTCTGCTGCAACAATAGAAACAAGACAGGAGGAAAATATGGGGCAGAAGGAAATTCACACAACACAAAACAACACAACAGAGAGGGATTTCAGCACCAAGTTGGCATCTTCCTCCTTTTCCCCATCTTCTCCTTTCATGCAGTTTTGTTTCACTGATTGGAGCATGTTCTAATTTTGTCATTCAAGCCATCTGACTCTCCCCGGCTCTATACAAACAAAACCTAATTTAGTCAGCGATGTTTTAAGTCATAACAATGACGGATGGCCGAGGTTCAGGTGTGCCAGAATATTTAAACCCCTCGTCTACATTTCTCTATGCACCCCCTCTGAAAGCAAGACAGGCCGAGGTTTGGGTGGTGGGATGTTTTTATTTTTAGGTATTCGGATTAATTATGGTCATGCATTTAGAAGGGGGAGGGAAAAATCTCTTTCTATTCTCCATTATTAATTGGTTATTTAATTAGAAATCCCAGACACTTCGGATGTTGGTTAGCTAAAACTATGCACACACTCCCTCTCTCACACACATGCATACACATAAGCTGCTGCTTTATTCTGTTGCCTTTTTGTATCTTATGAAGGTCACAATAAAAAGTGATTGTTTGGCATAGCAGCCGTGAATTATGCCACACAGACAAGCTTTTAACCTATGTGCCTTCGCTCTGAGTGAGACACACATGGATGTCCTCTTTTAAACAGTTCTCTATTGAAGAGGATTCAATCACCATAATGAATCTGAAGCCAAGGAGCAATCTTCTCCACTGAAAGAATTTCTAAAAGATTGTAGAATTTGTAAAACGAACAGCTCGCAGACTAAATGGCTGTGTGGGTGAATCAATTATCGTCAGGCTTGTGGTAGTCATAATATTTAGTACATATCAGAATTGTGTTTCAGGTATAATAAGAGATGCCAGCGCTTTTCTTTCCCCCATTGCTGTGCCCCGCACACACGCCCACTCGCCCATACATAGACATCTTCCCTCGGGCTCCCCCGGACAACAGCCCTCTTCCAGGGCAAATCTATTCGGAAGGAAGACCCCTGACTTATTCCCTGTCCCTGCCTCTGCAAGATCCCAGCTCAAGTCGATGTGCAAGACCGAGTCAGAACGAATATGAAGCCCATTTTTGAAAAACCCATTTTTGGCTGAAAGTCTGCGGCGTGGGAACGAAGCTTCCCACACCACTTTAATTGTATTAAAATGTGCATCTGATTTTTTTTTAAGGGTCACAGATGAATCTCATACAGGCAATAAGCGTGCAACACAAATATATTTTTCTCCTCAGGTCCGGCTTCTCACCACTTCCTTATTAATACAATAATTATTTTCCTCTGACAGCAGCATTTATAACTATCTAGTCTGTGTCCAACTGCCCATATTTCCATTAATCAAAGGACCTGAAGACGACGGCCATCATTTTCATTTATGATGACTTATAGGTTCATTGCAATTCGCTTAAATGTTACAGTGAGAGAGACAGCTGTGGGCAACCGAGAGAGCATCAGATGGAGCTGGGTTAATTCTTTTGTATGTATGAAAAATGAGATGAACCGTCAATGGCGTAACTTGACTTTATGCCCCAAGCCCTCTGTCGATGGCTATGGTTGAGCCCAGACACTGAAGGTTTCAGCGGAGTGTGTGTGTGGGTGGTGGGTGGGTATATGTACGTGTGTGTGCGTGTGCATCGGTGTGTTTGCACATGAATTTACCAACCACATAGTTGTCCACACACAACCAGATGTCCTCCCCAGAAGGAACTGCTCACCTCAGGACTGCCACACATGCTGTCAGGGAATCAGAACCATGGTCCCGTGGGAGCCAAGGGGAACCCCCTCCTTCCATGCAGTGGTCCCACTGAAAATGGCTGCTTCCTGAAGCTTCTTTCACCCCAAGGCAGAAGCTTCCATCGAGTCTGGTAGGAGTGTCCTTCCATGGTCCTTCCTGGGGACATGGGAGGAAAGTGTCCAGCTTGTCTTGGTCCCTGTCTGACTGCTGCCCTAGTCTACCTTCACGACCCACCCAGGATATGGATCCGAAGAGAGCTGGTGCTTGTTTTGTAGCATTCATCTGCTTACAGGTACACAAGTGCGGCAGGCAGTAAACAAGACTGGTAGACCTGACCGGGAATCATTTCTCAACATACCACACAACTAAACATCATGTACACCTCAGAGCAACCACACGTACTTCCAGCTCCCCAAGGTTGCTTCTTGCTAAAATTCAAACACTTGCATGCTACCCACCTCCTCTATCTCCAAATCCATTTAAACCACAAAAACAAAACAAACAAACAAACAACCTTGACTCTTTTTTATTGTCAACAAAAGCAGGTGGGTGTTCCAACTTCAGCTGGCCATTAATTAGCATTTATGGTTCACAGCCAAGCCATGCCAAAGCTAAATGGAGCCTTTGAATGGCAGGATGGGATGGGCCAGAATTCTCTCTCTCTCTCTCTCTCTCTCTCTCTCTCTCTCTCTCTCTCTCTCTCTCTCTCTCTCTCTCACACACACACACACACACACACACACACACACACAGCCTTTTGCTTCTGAGGCCAAATGTCCCAGGGTATTGCCTTGCTAATGGCAAAAGTTAGCATCAGAAAGGACAAGTAGAATTTTTCTAATAGGGATGCATGTCAGAGATAGCAAAGAGTTTCCCTTTAATAAAAAACCCTACTCTTTATTAAAAGTGTTACAAGCATACTCTTTTCAGGTTTTAGACAATGTAATGTGATTTATTCAAAGAAATGCTGATGATTAGACATTAAATGGCACTAAATATTCTACTTCCTCTGCACCGCCTGATAAACTGGTTTCATTAACATTATAAGTAACAAAAGTTTCCATTTCAGTCGTCCCATTTTTTGTATTTTTTTTCCCTAACACGATCTCAGCTGCAGATGCATAACACTATAAAATTCATACTGTAGCACATGCATTAAGTCATCATAGCCATACTTCCAAACATATGGTTATATATGTTGGCATAATGCATAATTTCTATTTAGGGTCCCCATTTATAGAATGGTTTGTTGTATCGGTACTTCTGGGCTCAAGTCTTCCAATCTCCCTCCAGCCTGGAAAACATTAACCAAACAAGGAGCTGCCATTTATTTGGACCAGAATGAGCTGCAAGGTTCCAACTTCTCTGGCAGGATCCGGACTGAGTCAGGAGCAACTGAGCTGGCAAAAGTGGGCTTCTCAACTCCCTCCTTCCTACCAGCCCCCAGCAATCAACCCAAAAGGGTCAAGGAGCTCTGCTGGATGAGTTGAGCTGTGATGTTGAGGCCCTGGTCCGGTGGGGAAAGAGAATCCTTGAAAATTTGGCAAAGGAACCTTCCACTAGTGGAAGACAAATGCACAATCCAATCCTTTCCCCCTTCGAAAATATTTAATGCACTGAGGGGCAGTTTTGGGGTGCTGGTGAGGAGCTATGCGGTCTGGAGCCTCCCTGGAAAAAACCATGGCTGGCAGGATGAGCTAACTTTGTCCTTTTAGTGCCCCATAGTGATAAAAGCAGCACTGCTTCTTTGTTTTGGTGGGGAAGTCTTTGTTTTGTTTTGTTTTGTTTTGTTTTGTTTTGTTTTGTTTTAATGGAGGGTGATAATACGTTGCCGCCAAATTCAGCAGCGTGACGGAGGAGGGCAATGGCAGCCACATGCCTCTGACGGGCCACAGGCAAACCCCCCCCCCACACACACACACACGTGCACCCTTTTGAGTTTCACACTAGCCTACTGTTGTGGCGGTGATGTGCCGTCAAGGCATCTCTGGCTTCTGGTGGCTCCATGAATGTCCTGTCCATGGAAGCATGACCCAGTTCTTCCAAGCTGGAGGCGGGGACCTCCTGTGTGGTTTCGCCTCCGCTCATATTTGCTCTCCCCTTTCAATTTCTGCCTTTCGCTTTCACCAAGATTGTCTCCTCCAGGGAGTCCTGCCTTCTCGTGATGTGTCTGAAGTCCAACTGTTTTGTTGTATTCACTGATAGGGAAAACTCTGGCTTGATTTGAGCTCTTGTAAGGCTCTGTTCCTGGCAGTAAGGCTTCACCCTAAAATATGATTTTTGGGGATTTTTAACCTCCGTTGCCTCCATCATTGCAATATGACCACCCTGCGCTTCTCTGAAATGCATTCGGTTCCCAGACTGAAAGAAGTATTTCATTCCTCATTGAGTACTATCTTAAAAGTTTGTTGCATGGATTGTTGAGAAAATGCTTAAATGACTCATAGATGTACATTTCCTTCACAAATGTTGAAATAATGGTGGGAAGACCATCCCTTTCTCAGAGAAGACCTTAGAAAGGACTGTTGGAGCTGGCAGTGGGAGTGGGTGTGTTGGTCCCGAGTAGAGATGTATAGTATTATACCTTACCATCTTTTTGGTACAGAGTTCCTAAACTAGTCTTCCTTAGTCTTCCTTTTAGTCCACCTCCACCTTGGCCACTCAAAGGTTCATTCCAGGATCCCTTCAAATGTTATCAGAAACGAGGCCCTACATTTTAGGGCATGGATTCATACTTAGCCTCCTTCTGGCAATCTACTGCTACACTGCATGTCTGAGATTTCACACCCGCAAGGACAGTGGCACCCAGCTCCCGTGGATGCCTCATCTGTTGCCCTGGCCCTGGGCAACCTAGGTTAGCAGAATCTGTGCCCATCCCACCCACCCTTAGCAATGCTTTGCAAAACGTAAATGAACCCTTCCTTCCAAACTTTGCAAACTCTTGTGAGGCTCCTAGAAGTGAAAAAGTTAAATTTTCCCCAGCCAAACAGCCCACGAGCAGAAATAACCACTCCCTCTCCCCTTTCAACTTGAAAGTAATTTCCACATTTCAGATACTTGCCATTGTCTGCATTTGCTCTTGAAACAAAGTTCTGGTATTAGCTTTTCCTTGCCCCGCTGAGAAACCTGGGACTGACAGAATAGCAGCCATGGGCACTCAGCTTCCCTAAGAACATTAAGGGGAGACTTCCATCTAATTGGCTGTCCCCTTGGGGAGGAAAAAAAGATTCTTTTCCTATTCAAGTTCTTTAGTGCAACTTTTTAAATATGCTCCCATTCAGAACTCTGACTTGTCAAAGCCAAATACAACAGGCTATTCAAGGCTGTTTGTCTCCTGGGCCGAGCAAAGTCATCAAAATTCCACTGCCATTGTTCCTCCTTACCTTTAAAAAGAAAAACAAAGAGATATTTCAGTCCACCATGAAGTCTTTCACTATTAAATCATAGGCTTCTTTGTTGGATGCAAGTTTCAGATTTCCCCCTTACCATCTTTATCAAAGGATAGCTTTGCCTCGCCTTCTCAGGCCACAGTAAATAAAGGCTGAAATATGGATGAGTCAGTATGGGCCGCTTCATTCTCATGCACATTTATTTATTTCATAGTATTTGTATATCATTCTGCCTCCAGACAGGACCCAGGGCTGTGAACAGCACAAAGTTAAAAATAATAATACAGAGGTGTGTCTATATGTAAGTATTCGCATCTTTGGTAACTCAAAGATGCAAGAGTCAGACAGACTCCATGGAGTTTGGAAATATGAATGTTAAGTCTATGACATTTCAGAGAATCCACGCTTTGGAAGGAATCTCAAAAGAACATCCCTTCCAAAGTAGAAAATGCTGTACCCTATTACTGGCAGGCGGGTGTCTACCCTCTGATAAATATCCTTAATGAAGGAGCACTCACCACTGTCGGAAGCCAACCATTCCACGATCCAACCATTTCTCCATCCTTCTTCTTGTAGAATTAACCCACTTCCGCCACTTCTAATCTCTGGAGCAACAGAAAACACATTTCCCCCATCATCTAAATAGCGATAGCTCAGTGGTACATGCAACTCAACACATGCCGCTCAGTCATTTAGAGTATATTTATTTGCAACATTTATAGTGCTCCACATATAAAGATTCCACGGCAGTGGGCAATAAAAAAAGATTTAAGAGGCAAAAAATGCTATATTGATCCATTTAAAAATATCTGTTAAGGAAACTCTGAAAACAGCATCGTTTTGGTGCCAGGATCCGGAGGCAGGGAGTCCCACAGGAGAGGTACCACTGCACTGAGGCCCTGCTCCAGGTGGAATCCAGTGGATCACAGGTCAAGGTAGACGCACTGAAGCCATCCAGTCTGATGTCCTCAGTGACTGGGCAGGTGGACAGGTGTGAAGTGTGCACCCCAGAATCTTGGTCCAAAGCGGCACAGACTATGCATTGGTACCAGACCATTGAACGTGGGTTGGAGGGCATCAGCAGCCAAGCAGTTGCATGCCGTAATGGGGCAGTGCCAAACTTCTCTAGCTCTCCGTTCTCAGCCAGCTCCAGGGGAGCTCTGCACTGCAGGGGTCCCGCCTCAAAGGGGTTAACCTCTGTCCTGCCTGGCCAGGCGTTCCCTGTCCAGGAGAGGCCATAACGGGTGCCTCAGTCAAAGCTAGGGAAAGGCATGCCAAGCCACCAGTCCTGAGCGAAAGCACTGAATCTGGGAGTGCCCCAAGAGTGCAAACTTGATCTTTCAGACGACTGCAGCCCCACCCACAGCCAGCAACAAGACTGTCTCCAAGGCTTGGGGAACGTGGGCCTACAGGGCTGCCGTCTTGCCAGAACTCAGCTGTGGTTTCATAGACTCATAGCATAGCATTGGAAGGGGCCATGAAGGACATCAGCCCTCATCAGCGGTCTCTGAGTCTTGACATGGATCCAGGACTTGCACAGCTTCACCTGATGTTGCAGGGAGACCTTTGCATTGGCTACCAACAGCACCTGGCTCCAAATCCCCTGCTCCCAGGGGCACCATACAAATGGTGGCCATGTTGGGGAAAGAAGCAGCCATGTAGAACCTCATAAGACCAAACACCTGAAGAATAATCGCCCAACGCTACTCTCCACAATTAGCCTCATAGAGCGAGTATAACGTATGTCTCCAACACGCAGCCCAGGGTGTTAGTCCAAGAAGATACTGTGGTTATCGTATCAAGCCAATGAGAGCTCAGGAAAGATTAATGGGGTTGCCCTCTCCCTCTCCCTCTCCTAGGGGTTATTCTTCAGAGCAGCCAAAACTGTTTGCTAAGCAGGTAATTACCAAATCGAGTAATAAACATGCACATGTAAATCAATTCTGTGTGTAAACTCAGAATCTCATCTTTGAGAGCAGCTCATCTTTGTTGCTATTTCCTGGTTATTTCTTGCCACATAATTTCCTTAGGAGGTTCTGCCCTCTTCCCACGCCATTTGGATGAGGAGCTCCTATAACATGTAAGGAAGAACATCACTTTCTCTTCCCTGCAAATGGAAAAACAAATAAAAACAAAGTTCACCCTGGCAGAAAATAATTTACAACTGTTTTGGTGACACATCCACAAAACTTCTAATAGGTCCCTACCATGTTATCCATTTCCACAAAACCTCGCTTGAAAAACCGCATCCTGCCGAGAATACAGGAAACAAACTGTTAATACTTCTCTGGAAGTGGTGATGCAGCAAGTGGCTTCTGCTGGTCCAATAACACGGTTGGTCTTCAGCTGCTGAGCCATGCTGTGTAGTAAAGCGACCGTGCCAGGGATGGATTCTGCCCAGGGAGGGATTCTGAAGGGCCGGTGGTCACCGTGACAGTCCTCGTAGCCGGACCTCCAGAAAGAGTCCAGAAATGTGGGCATCCGATGGAGACTCTCCAAACTCAAACGTTCAAATTCTGTGACATTCCCTCAGCCCAGGTCCTGCAGGTGTTCAGCTCTGACCAAGATCTGGCTTGGTGAGAATCGGCCCCGATGGATTCTCTCCACGGCATCTCCACACCCATAGGTATTTTGCCAGATACACATTTTTGTTTACATGCAGCCTCAGCTTTCTCTTGATTGCGAGGCAGTGCGGAGTGGCCGAGGAGGGCTGTTGTTGACATTTCTGCATTAGCTGGCTTTTGTCAATCTTGGCAGGCTCAGAAATTCTATCTTAAGGGCTGCTCTTTATTAAATTTGCAAGATACAAAACTGTGACTGACAAATAGTCGCTTTTCTTTTGTGAATGCATAAATAATAAATACGCCACTCTAAAAATAATTAAAATATTGCTCAAATTTAAAACATAGAGCAGAGCAGGGGGAGGGAAAGAGGTAATTTCTAGACAGCTTTATATGTAAAAAGGAAAGAACGGAGCACAAGTGAAGCGTGGTAAACAAGTTGGAAAATGCCCCCCCACCCCCACCTCAGAGCTCTGACAGTTTTCAATATTAAGGAGTTGAAAGGGGAGAAAGGAGAATGGATGAAGATCGCCAAAGTCTTCTAGTGCCTCGAACAGAACAACCAGAAAAGAATTCCCACTCTGCCAAAGGGGCAAAAAATATAATCAAGTCACGGTGCGATCCCTCGGCACTGGCTGGGAGGCCAGTGGGTTCTTCGGCAACCTGGCCACAAGGCCCTGCCCGTGGAGCCGGGGCTCCAAAGAGTGGGCCGTGGCCCCGCACCTGTTGTGGAACGAGCGGCTCTAGCTGCCTCCAGCTCACAACTGCATCTCGGTGTGGGAAAAGGGCATGAAGCAGGCAGGGGAGGAGACTGGGGCCACGGACGTCCATGGCTCCCGGTCAGCAGGCCAGGCACCTTCCCGCCCCAGCACTAAACCTAAACAGCCAAACGCCAAAATCTGGCATCTCCCATACTTCTGCTGCAGGGGCGATGGGACGGCATCCTCTGTGACAGGCAATTTTTCTCACCTTTTAGGGTGACAAGCTATGACACCTGGGGGAGCGTTACGGGGTTCGTAGCATCCTGAGGAGCTGCCTTTCCATGGACAGAGAGAAGCAAAGCACAGAGAAGTGGCTGTACACGGCTGTTGGACTAGTGGTGGAAAGGTCTCCCGCGAGGCCACCCATGGCCAGTGGCCAAGGCAAAAAGCAGAAGGGGGTTCTTTGGCCTGCTAGGAGCTGGTCATTCTTTGTGACTACCTGGAATGGAAACCAGCCAGCCCTGGAACTGGTGAATCTGTTTTCCATCCCTCCCTCCCCACAAAAAAAGAAAAGAAAGAAAAAAAGTGGGGGAAATGGAACTAGGAGGAGGAAAAAATGCAGGGAGAAAAGGGGAAAAGCATCATCCCAGCTTCTGCCATAGTCCCAGAAGGTCTTCAGGTGTGACCACTGATCCACCAGACTGTCCACTGGATTGCTGGACATGCACAGAAATGATTGTGGTTGTGATTGTTTACATTGAATTTCTATCCTGCCTGAAGCTGAAGCTCTCTGGGTGGTTTGCAACCTTTTAGGTCACCCATCCAGCTTTCAACCAGGCCTGACTTGTTTAGCTTCCGAGAGGAGTCTCAGGCAGGCACTTCAGGCTATGCAGAAGCTACAACTTCCACCTGACGTCAGACGCCTCAGTCGGCTTCATGGCTCGGCCAGCCTGTTCCGTGCAAACTTTTATCAAGATGCCTCTTCTATGCAGAACTCCTTTATTTGGGGAAGTGTGACCTAATTCCTGCTCTCTGCTCCCCACTCCCCAGTCACCATTATGCATGATAAATAAAACAATGCTATGGAAACACTGAAATCTCTCATCAATGTCTTTGTGAAAGGGGCCCAGATAAATGAGTCTCCGAATCAAAGCGATTACATGACTGACCATGTTTCATCCTCTATGTACAGAGCATAGCCTTTGTAAAGTTGGAGCGATAATAAAAAGTGGTATTGTGTGCTGTGAAAAGCTGTGTGGGTCTGTGCATGACTAATCTGTCTTTCTGCATTATTTTATTCAATCTTCTCTGACTTTATGCCTTTGACATTTTTGCTACACTCAGTAAATTTGAGTGAATAGGCAATTTTAAAGAATTTTTATAGGGCTTCAGAGAAGTCATATGCAGACTGTATCTTTGTTCAGATTTAACAGTTTAAATATTTCCTTTGTCTAGGATGCAGAGTAATCTTTAGTGTGTGTGTGTGTGTGTGTGTGTGGATTTGGAATCAGGATAGAAAAATGTATAGTAGCACATTGCAACATTTCCTCTTAAGGCAGAAAAAAAGGAGGGGAAAAAATTTCAGATGGAGTGGAGTGGCTGTAAAATTCTAGAAGATACAGAAGAACTCTTGGCCTTTAAACTTACCAATGCTGTGTTTGTCCCAGGGCTTCTCTCCCCTTCACAGACACACAGCCAAGATTTCAGGATTTGCCAAGTAAGGCTGAGATCCAAAGAATTCTCTTGGATTTACTCTACTGCGTTCAGAGTTCTTCAAACAGATAACTTGCTTCACAATTCACTCAACATGTGCCATCTCATATTACATGAAGACATTATTGGTTGCTTCCAAAAATATCAATCAATCAATCCAGGTCTGAGATGTTTGACTCTGTTGCATCGGAGCCTTGGGTGTCGAAGGAATGAGAATCAAGACCCCAGAGCTGTGTTCCACTGCCTCCATGCGCTGAACCATTAGACAGAGTTCTTCCTGGAGTACCACAGGGTTCTGGGCTCCGTCCACCCCGCTTTGCCACATTGGTGGGCACTGGGATCCCATTCAAGTTCTCAATGAATGTGCCTATAGATGTACTTAAACCATCTTCCCAGGCATATTCCTTTAATGCATGAGGGAATAGCAACGAAAGACAGGAAAAGGATACTATTTTTACTCACCGCGGGTGATTCACTGAATGCCTTTTTCAAGCTTGCCTTAAAGCAGTGGTCCCTCCAGTGCTCGGTCCTTGGAGCCATTCCACTGGCAAAACACCTGCTGTCTGTAGCAGCGAGGAACTATTCCTGACCCTCTGGAATAGCGAACAGGGGATGGGGCAGAGCTGAAGGGATGGAGGGCCAGGCATGCCATGAAAAGGAAGCAATGCATGGCTCTTTCTTTCTCGGGCCACTTCCTCTCTTCTCTACCCCTTACATGTGCACAGGCGTGAAGCAAAAAAGCAAGCCATTCCTGGATGAGTGGACTGGAGGGCCAGCGACACGGAGGGCTGCACGAGAGCTGTAAATGCGTGTTTCCAGTGGAGCATTAGGAATGCAATGGGAACCAGGGGGCACGCCAGAGGCGGAGAGGGACGAGTTGGCCGAGCTTTGGAGGCTGCTGAAGGGAACACTCTTCTCTGCACTGCACGGAAAGGGTCTGTGAGTGGCCAGCTATTCACTTTGCCTGTATAAGGACCAGGTCGAATTCCTGGCATGGTTCGGGGCCAAACCAGGTGAGCAGTGGTGTGGGTGGCATTTTTTTAAGTAGAGGCGGTGCAGTGTGATCATGTTGGCCTTGGGCTCAGTGGTCTCACAGGTGGCTACCTTTAGACAGGACGTGCTTTACTTCAGTTGTGCAGGACACAAACCACAATTCCTTCCCCTGCTGTTCCCCTTGGACCGCCAGTCCATGCCTGACAACTGCTTCTACACTGCCGACACAATGGAGCAAAGCTGCAGCAACCGAAGTGTTGGCCCAGACTGGCTAAACAGGAAGATGCACCAGTGAATGGAAGGAATGCTCTGATGATGTGTGAGCTGCCTTTTGCGCTCACATGCATCATGGCACTGCTGTGGCTACAGGGAAAACTGAGATTTGTGAGCCCCAGTGCTGACATGTTTGGGACCTGTCTCCCAACACAGCTTGATGGCCATTCAGAACATGCACCGAAGCACTTGGCGTTTGGACTTTGCCCCAAGGACCAATCCTGGGTGCATCACTGCCATCACGATCTGGATCAACACCCTATGGGAAGCGTTAATGCTTGGCCCCATGCCATAGCCCCATTCTCTCTCATATGCACATACATGTACATACGGCCGAGATTTACATGGGAGGGAGCTTCCATTGGCACTAAAGGGAGTTTTTTCCCTCTCCCAATGCAAATAGCAGGGTTGGCTTGGCTTGGCTTGGCTCGAAAACATAATTATCACCATCCACACAATTGCCAGCTGCATGAATTGTCTCTGCCTAACTTGGTCCTAAAGCAGAAGGAGAGAACTTTGCCTATCCCTTTGGAGAGCACCCAGCCAGTGGAGCTGGGTTGGGTGGAGCAGTAATCTGACTTAATCAATATCGGTTTTTAATATTTGGCTCCTTCAAGATGATGTGGATCAGTCTTGGTTCTCAAAAAGGATAGGTTTGGAGATATCAGAGCAAAGAGAACTTGAGAGGAGAGGAGAGGATGCAAGGCAAGAAAGCTAGATGGATGAGGTCTGTTCATGACTGAAAAGAAATGAACAAGGGTTCCATAGTCTGTCACCCATCATCTCCAGCTGGCATGGCCACTGGGAAAAGCAAGACAAATTACATACCAAGAGTTTAGCTAACTCCCCATTATAGCTTATTTGATTGTGTTCACAAAAGCCAAGAGACTCCAGGGATGACCCACAGGAGTCGTTTCGCCTTGCCATGTAAGGACCCTAAAATTCACTATTCTGCAGCATCACCACCTTATGGAAAATCTTTGGAGCCAAGTTCCTAAACAACAAATGCTCAGAGGACATAATGTAGTG